CTCCCCCGTTCATGCTCTGTCTCTCTCTGTCCCAAAAATAAATAAACGTTGAAAAAAAAAAAATAAAGTGACATTTTTAATGTACTCCCAACACAGAAATTATTTTCAAATAACTAAAATAATAAATCATTAAAAAGTTAAATCGGGGTGTCTGGGTGGCTCAGTCAGTTAAGCATCTGACTTCTGCTCAGGTCATGGTCTCATGGGCCATGAGTTCAAGCCCCGTATCGGGCTCTGTGCTGACAGCTCAGAGCCTGGAGCCTGCTTTGGATTCTGTGTCTCCCCGTCTCACTCCTCCTCCCCCACTAATGCTGTGTCTCTCTCTGTCTCAAAGATAAATAAAACATTAAAAAAAATGTTTTGGGGCACCTGGGTGGTTCAGTGGGTTAAGCGGCTGACTTCGGCTCAGGTCATGATCTCGCGGTCCATGAGTTCAAGCCCCGCGTCAGGCTCTGTGCTGACAGCTCAGAGCCTGGAGCCTGTTTCAGATTCTGTGTCTCCCTCTCTCTGACCCTCCCCTGTTCATGCTCTGTCTCTGTCTCAAAAATAAATACATGTTAAAAAAAATTTTTTTTAATGTTTTAAAGTTAAATCAAAGTAGAAATAAGTATGTGGAAGAGGCAGTTTCCTAAGAAAGAAATGGAAGGCAACAATGTAAAGAAAAGCATGAGTAAATGTGCATACACGACAGTGTGAGACGTGGGTGTATTAGAGAGAAGCCATATACATTTCATTCATATTTTCTCCTGCATTTATACAACGTTTTGCATATGCTTTCCTATGATTCTTTTAACTTTTTAAATTTATTCATTTGACTTTTTCATTTGTTTATTATTTATTTATTTATTTATTTATTTTTAATGTTTTTATTTATTTTTGAGACAGAGAGAGACAGAGCGTGAGCAGGGGAGGGGCAGAGAGAGAGGGAGACACAGAATATGAAGCAGGCTCCAGGCTCTGAGCGGTCAGCACAGAGCTGGACACGGGGCTCGAACTCACTGCGAGGTCATGACCTGAGCTGAAGTCGGACGCTTAACTGACTGAACCACCCAGGCACCCAAGACTTTCTCATTTCTGATTTTTTTAATTCATGCTGTCTCCCCTTTCATAATTATGTCAGTCATATCAACCAAAAGCAAAATAAAACTATATTCAAAATGAAAAGGCAAATGACAAACTAGGGAAATATCCTCAATGATTGAAAACATGAAAAGCTCATTACTTAAAGAATATCTTTGAAAATAAAGAAGAGAGAAAACAAAATAAAATTGAGAAAAAAATGGGTAAAAGAATAAAATATGTAATTTACTTAAAAAAGAAAAAATGAGGGGCGCCTGGGTGGCTCAGTCGGTTAAGCGGCCGACTTCAGCTCAGGTCACGATCTCACAGTCTGTGAGTTCGAGCCCCGCGTCGGGCTCTGTGCTGACGGTTCAGAGCCTGGAGCCTGCTTCCGATTCTGTGTCTCCCTCTCTCTCTGCCCCTCCCCCGTTCATGCTCTGTCTCTCTCTGTCTCAAAAATAAATAAATGTTGAAAAAAAATTAAAAAAAAAATGATAATGTACATATTAAATTTTTAAAATCTCATCCGTAATGAAAAAAATGCAAGTTAAAACAATGACATATGTATTTTTTGCCTCTCAATTTGGTAAGGATATATGTATGTATGTATGTATGTATATGTATATATATGTACGTGTGTATCATGCCTGAAGAACAATGAAGCATGAGGCATGGTTCATAAAGTGAATGAACATCTTATTTGAGTTGTTTCTTTTGTCTACTTAAGCTTGGAATTCAAAGTTTAACTTTACCTAAAAGAACTATAAGCAAAGGAATCAAACGCAAGGATCCACAGTGTGGTTAAGAAGGAAAACTAGGGGCGCCTGGGTGGCGCAGTCGGTTAAGCGTCCGACTTCAGCCAGGTCACGATCTCACGGTCCGTGAGTTCCAGCCCCGCGTCGGGCTCTGGGCTGATGGCTCAGAGCCTGGAGCCTGTTTCCGATTCTGTGTCTCCCTCTCTCTCTGCCCTTCCCCCATTCATGCTCTGTCTCTCTCTGTCCCAAAAATAAATAAAAACGTTGAAAAAAAAAAAAAAAGAAGGAAAACTAAAAACAACGGTGAACTTTAGCTCTGAGAGATATGAAATTGTTACAAGTTATCCGACGAGCTAGTTGGAAAACAATAAATAAATAAATTCCTCATGAGATTCCATTTAGGCCTGGTCTTGTGTCAAGGGAGGGGAAGAGGCTTCTGGGTGGCTCAGTCAGTTGAGCACTGGACTCTTGATTTCCACTCAGGTCATGGTCCCTGGGTCATGGGATCGAGCCCCCAGTCTGGCTACATGCTCAGTGTGGGGCCTGCTCAGGATTCTCTCTCCCTCCCCTCTCTCTGCTCCTCTACCCCACTCTCTCTCTCTCTCTCAAATTAAAAAACAAAACAAAACAAAAAAGAAGGGAGGAGGAGCTGATGGGGTGGAGCCATATCCCCCTGAGAGAAGTTCTTTCTCCAACAGGAGGAGCCTGACCATGAAAGAGTGAAGCTCCTAACTGAGCAGATAGGAAACCCTTCAGAGAAGCTCAAGGTTGGAGGGAGGTCACTCTGAATCTCCATCGTTCTACCTCAGCTAGGGAGCAAGGAGAAGGATGAGGGCCGAGGGAAACTCACTTTTGAAATCATCCCTTCATCATCAAATTATACTTAGCTTTTTCCAAGGACACTACAAGAACACACAAGTTGGGCTGTAGGCAAGTTTGAGAGGTCCTGATGGGAAGAAGCAGCTTGAATTGATGGGGGAAGATTAGGGACAGTGAAAGAGCCGTGTGACAGATCTGGCCAGACAGCACAGTGGGAGCCATGTGGTTCACATACTGTATTCACCCTGCTGAGCAGGGGTTTTGACTGATTTTGCAAACTGATGGGAAATCAATCAGGAGAGAACAAGGACATACACTGCCACTGAAATCGATGTGTCAGTTGTGTGACAGACGGCGGAAGCCGCTTCCTCCCAAATGCTCACCCCTGCGACTAGTCGCCCTCCTCTTCCATGTGCCCCTTTCCAACGATGCTATGACTTACATTTGATTGGTTGTCTAAATACCCTTCATCTTTCCTTCAGGATTCCTCCCAAGTTCAACTTGGTAGAAAGGAGGCAGTACGTTGAAATAACGTAGACGTCAATTTGTCAGTTCAGCAGAGATGACTGGGCAATCTCCAACCTCAGCAAGGCTGCTGGGCTGGCTATGGGATCACCGTCCTGCCCAGCTCCACCTCTGATGCTGGTGAGTCATTTTGCTTCCTTTAACCCTGCTTTTATGAAAAATTCAAGGGTTGGACTATGTGGTGGATAACATTTTTCCAGCTTTGGGATTTTATGAGACTACAGATGAGCAAAGAGCAAGAATACGTGATTCCCATAATGTCAGAAAACACTTGAAAAATACTTAATACACTTAATTAATAATCAAAGAAATGCATATTAAAATGGTGATATACTTTTTCCTTTTTTTTTAATTTAACATTTATTTATTATTGAGAGACAGACACAGAGCATGAGCAGGGGAGGGGTAGAGAGAGGGGGAGACACAGAATCTGAAGCAGGTTCCAGGCTCTGAGCTGTCAGCAGAGAGCCCGACTCAGGGCTCAAACTCATGAGCTGTGAGATCATGGCCTGAGCTGAAGGTAGACACTTAACTGACTGAGCCACCCAGGTGCCCCAGTAAGACACTTTTTCATAACCTCTATGTTTGACAAAGATTTAATAAAGAAGTAATGTCATCTTCCATTGGGTCAGGGGAAGAAGAATCAGAGCTCTTTTTTGCTGTTGGCAGGAATACATCTTTTCTATAGGGCAGCTTATGAATATGCATCTAAAGTCTTAAAATGAGCATCATCTTTGATCTAAGAATTCCACTAGAATGGGTTCTGAAGGAATAATCAGGGACTCATGAATAAATTTAAATACAAAGATTTTTATTGCATCATTATTTATATGATCCGAAACCAAAGGCTGATCTTCCTTCAACCAGGAGAAATTATGGGATGCTCCATGGCAAGCTTGAGGACACTCAAAACAGGATCAGCCTGGCCACATACACACTCAACATGCCAGCGTCTCCCTCAATCCCATCTCATCCACCCACACAGAGCCACGTAGTCAGAGGCGATCCTGCCATATGACTAGTGAGACCCTGCCTTTCCAGGTGGCTGTGGTCTTCTCTGCTGAAAGACCATCAGTGGCCACCATTGGCTGCAGGACAAACCACCTATGGTTTGGTGGTTAAGGCCCTTTATAATCGAGCCTCACCCCACCAGAAAGAGCTTTGTGCCAACTTCTCCCCTCCCCTACTGACACCGCCTGCCTTCCCTTTCCCTGCCACCACACTTACTCTAACCCCCAGTCACCAGGGAGCCTGCTTTCCTCTCTCCTTCAATGGTGGCTTCCAACAAGTGTTCCCTGCCATCAACTGACCTCATTGCCCACACTTTCTAGCATAGTTTTTGTGTATATTGCCTTTTTTTCCTTTTTTGCTCAGTTTTGTTTCAAGTTTGCCTATCTTTCCAATTATAAGGTCTCTGAAACTGGCACTATGTCTTATATTTGAAAGACTACATGCTATAGGAGAAAGAACAGGCATGAAATCTGAAAAACCCATGTTTAAATCCTGTGCCATGTTGGGCAAGTTGACCTCTCTGAGCCTGAGTTTTACCACACATGAAATGCAGACAACAGTAGTTCTTTCATAGAGTTGTAATGTGGTTAATGGGACAATTGTTCACCACTTAGCACAATGCCTGCCCCATAGTACATACTCAGAAAATATTAGTTCCCTTCTTTCACTCTACTTTGGAGAAGTTGGGCTTGATAAACAGTAAGTTTAGATGAAACCTTGTGGTCTGGCCACTTCCCTCAAGGACACCAGGAACAATGAAAGACCTGTAGGGAAGGAGAGCAGGAATTGGCGAACCAGGAAATCCATGGATCTGGACTGCTGGCCCCTTACCTGATGATTGTCAGAGGGATGAAATACACCAGGAAGGCCACGATGGTCATGTATGGGGTCCAGTAGGAGTCGTCAGGCCACAGTGCCCAGCACTGTACTTCACCATTAGAGAGTTTCCTTTTTCCAAATATGATCAGGGTGGGAATGGAGAAGAGGAAAGAGAGGGTCCAGGCAATCATGATGAGGACCTTGGCTTGCTTTTCTGCTCAAAGGAAAGAGAAGTTGGATGGTTTGTTCATGTAGAGATCAAAATCACCCAAGATGAGGACAGTATGAAAGGTGAGAAAGAGACTGAGAATAGTGTCTGACATCTTCACTGGATGAGGAGCATGGCTGTGTGGTCAGACAGAGGGAACATTGTAGAAGGCAATCATGGTAACATGAGCATCAAAGGAACAGACCAGTGCACATGCAGTAATGGAGGAGAAGGGAGCTAGAAGTGATTCAGGGAGGTAGGAAAATGTCAACACCACCCCCATGCCTTGATGTTCTCAGAAGGAAGGCTGAGAAGCATCCTTTTCAGAGATGTTAGGAGGACCAGGGATCTCATGAGGCAGAGGGTGGAGGGAACCTACTGTGATGTGGTTGACAATGTAAGGGAGTTGGTTCCTGGAGGAATACAGGAAAGTTGTTCTGGGTAGAAAAAGCCATGGGAATTTGGTGAGGAAATAAGCACAGAGCAGGATGGGATTGAGAGTGCGAGTGAGATGGCTGGAAGGCTTTTCCTCTTGATCAGAGGGATGTGATCCCTGCTGGGTTTCTGCAGACCTTGACAGCATTAGTAACTGTTCCTGCATGCTCTTGTTCTTTCACTGGTTAAAATTCAAATTTTATCTTCTGTAGGTCCTAGAGCCTGGACTTTTAAGAGTGATCTGCAGCTCCTGGGCCCCACTCAGATTCCACTTGACGGGCTAACAATGTATTCACTTGTGAAAGGAATGGGCAAGGAAGTAATTAGATTCAAAGAATAGGAAACCATGCTTTAGAATTAATTCCACCAAGGTACTAAAAATGTGTCCCCAGAGTCCACCCCGGGCACATGCTTGGAATTACTTTTCTCATACAGGTGCTGGGCTGTACCGGGAAGTCCCCAGTCAGATGTGTCACCAGCAAACACACAGCAGTGGTAAGACTGTTGACCTTCTTTTTTTTTTTTTTTTAATTTTTTTTTAACGTTTATTTATTTTTGAGACAGAGAGAGACAGAGCATGAACGGGGGAGGGGCAGAGAGAGAGGGAGACACAGAATCGGAAGCAGGCTCCAGGCTCTGAGCCATCAGCCCAGAGCCTGACGCGGGGCTCGAACTCACGGACCGCGAGATCGTGACCTGGCTGAAGTCGGACACTTAACCGACTGCGCCACCCAGGCGCCCCAAGACTGTTGACCTTCTGATCAGCGGAGCCCATCTGCTATAAAGAGTGACTGTTTGGGGCTTAACACTCAGGGACAGAACAGATGAAATGCAGTCTGGGTATTAGGTAGGCCATCCTCTGTTACCTTCAAAGTTGCCTGTGTCTCCTACCCATAGGAAGGCAGCTTCTCGTTCAAAGTGCTCTTGTCCAATTCTGTACTTCTGTCTTAGCCTCTACCTTTTATGCATCATAAAATGTAGAAGTCTCTACCTTCTTTGTTTTTAGCAATGGAAGTTACACATGATAATTACAGACATACTAGCAGAGAAATAGAAGCAAAGAGAAGAAAAAAAAGTCCTTGGTGGCACCACCCAGAAATAGCCAGACTAAATTTTGATAGTGCATTCATATATAATACAATAGATTACACATATAAAAATGAGAACATAATATATATGCTGATTTTCAACCTAATTTTTTTCCCTGGAAAAAATTTTATGACCATCTTGTCATGTCAAGAAAATCTTTTGTCAAAAAATTTTATGACATCTTTTCATGTCTACATCTACACAAGTGGCATTCAGAGTTTTTCAGGCAGTGAAAGCCTTTCATCAAATGTTAATTTTATCCTGGGCCCAGTGCAGGATGCCTGGGTAGCTCAGGTTGAGGCTAGGTGACAGCCAGAAGCTTCCAGGCCTGTCTTGGAGCAGGTCTACAAAATGAGCCCTCCGGGCCCAGTGTGTGAAATATAATTTGAAAAGCACTGATACATTTCCCCCCCCCCCCCAACTGGTTACACTAAACTGCAATTTTATCCATAGCCTCTTATTAAGTATTTAAATTGTTTCTGATTATTTTTATTACAAATAATTTATATGTATCTCTTTGTACTGCTATTGCCTTAGGATAAACTCTTAGAAACAGATTTTGGCAAATATTATTAAATTTCTCCCAGAAGTGTCTACAACTTATGGTTCCCGCCAGAAGTCTACAGACACGACTATCTTGTTATACCCTCCCAACCCGGAGAAGATTCCCCCTCTAACTCTTGTTACCTCATTGGTAAGATTTCATATCCAAATGTTTAATTCTTGCAATTGTTTAGTTAGTGGTCCAAAAGAGTATTTCTATGTATGGTCTGCTCATTTTTCTTTGTTTCTTAATAATTTGTTCATGTTCTTCGCCCGCTTTTTCTATTGGTATGTTCTTCTATCCTTGCCACAGTTCTTTACAAAAACAATATCACCCCTTTGTCTGTTGTATACAAATATTTTCTCACTTGTCATTTTGCTTCTTAAGCATGTGTACAATATTTATTATTTGTATAAATAGTTTTAAAGTTCTGATGTAGTGAAAACAACATTTATTTCCCTTATTGTTTTGCCTTGGGTGTTATTCCTAGGAAGATCTTTCTCTCACCAAGACTAAAAAAAAAAGTTTTACTCATACTCATCCCCTTTCAAGTTTAACATTTTTACTTTTTTCAATCCAACTGGCATTTACTTTATAATTAGCTGTGGCAGATAGCAGTCTAATATTTTTAAGGTGGCTAGACAACTATAATAACACCATATACTGAGTAATTCATTCTTTTCTAATTGACATGATTCCATACGCTTTCCATACATTATTCTGGTTTCAGTATCATGTTTTTTAAAATTATCAAACTTTTATATTATGTTTTAATATCTGGCATCACATATTTCTCTTCATTATTAACAGATGTTTTCCTAATTGTTCTTATATTTATTTATCCTAAAGGGCCTTGAAATGTCAACTTCTCTGGAGTGGCTGGCTAAGGAAACTACCACTTTAGTAAAAAGCATTAAAAAAAAAAATCAGTAAAATGTGGCCTCCCCTTCCCCTCTCCTTCCTTTGCTTTAGTTGCCATTGCCTTGTGGCTGCAAAGCCACATGTGACTCTGTGTGGCTTCCACCTGCTCCTGTTCTCCACAAAGCTGTGCTGCCTGGTGGGGAATTGCTTTCTGTTGTCTTCTCTTTGTTCAGTCACGTAAACCCTTAGCTCTGCCCCTCAGGGCTGCCCTTAAATTCCAATGAGCTGTGACATCAAGAGACTCTAGCATCGGGTTCCCTGTTCTCACCTGTACCTCTCCCCCAAACTCCTGCACGGCCATACAGCCTTCCTGGGGGTGTGGCGCCCATGTGTGCTAGGAATTCCTTGAAGTTTCTGGGATTTGGATGGCTTCTTTCCTTGGCTCCCACCCAGCTCCAGATCTCCTCTATTTTGACCAGGGCCAAGGTCAGACACTTAACAGACTGAGCCACCGAGGCACCCCAAGTGTCCTCGATTTCTATGGCTCTTCCATGACTTCAGAGGAATTGGCAGCGAGGAAGGGAAAACGGTTAATGTCGATTTCCAACTTTCATCTTTCCCCGAAGCCATTGGAGATGATTATTTTCTAAGTGCCCAACACTGAACCTCTATTAATTTTGTAGTGAGGAAATAAATTGCTTTACATCTTTAACAGAACACTGTGATATTCATTCCTGCCTTTTCTGTAATTTAGGACACTGTTCATAATATTGCACTGTTTCTAGAACTCGTCATATCTTCCATGAGCTAAACATTTGATTTTTTTTTTTAATCTAATGAGTATGGTGACATGGGTAACTGACCATGTTTTCCTTCTGTCTACGGATTCCCTAAGCCTCCACCTTCTGCCAAGCATCCTGAGACACCTCTCACATGTTTTCTTATATGATTTCCCTTCACTCATATTTCTGCACTTTGAAATACCCTGGTGTATGTGTTTTTTGTATGTCCCCACTCAAACCTTCCTGGGGCCTACTGGGCGTAAATACATAGATGAATGAATAAGTATATCACACTTTCGTATAGAGCATAAAATTTTCCCCATTTTCCTTCATCTCACTCCCTGCTTCCTTCTTTATCATAATCACTGAGGCAATGGTAGTGCCTAGAAAGCTCAGTAGTGGTCACATACCTTCACACACACACACACACACACACACACACACACACACACACAAACAAAAACAACCCTAGAAAAAGCCTAAAACAGGTGTAAATTATATTTTTAAATTGGTTTTAACTGCACACAACACATCAATATACCTTCTTGTATGTAAGTCCCTGTGGTCACTATGACTAGTCCAAATCCCATCCCCAGAAGTGAGGACTATTTGGTGTGTGTCCTTGGAAGCAATTGCTTATTACTTTCTTTTCTTTTCTTTCTTTCTTTCTTTCTTTCTTTCTTTCTTTCTTTCTTTCTTTCTTTCTTTCTTTCTTTCTTTCTTTCTTTCTTTTTACTATACATTGCTATCCCAATACCTCACTGAGAGGCAGGATATATGGTAGTCAAAGACACCCATGCTGTCTTGGGTTCAAACCTTGCCCCTACACCTACCAGCTGTGTGATCTTAGGCAAGTTACTTTAACTATCTGAATTGCAATTGTCCAGACTATAAGATTCAGATAATAATAGCATCTATCTCCCAGAGATGTTGTAAGAATTAAAGTACCTAACATTCATAAAGAGCTTAGAATCATGAATGGAATATAGTATGCAATCAATAAATCTAAGCTACTGAAACTTCTATATAGGCTAGCCAGCCATTCCTCCAACGAGGGAATCCCTGCTATTCTAAGCAACATTACCATAAACGACATGTGTGCATACTTGCATGCATGTGGGTGTTTGTCAAGAGAAGATACCAAAAAGTAGAATTCCTATGTCAAAGGGCACATGTGCCAATATTATCTGATATATTCAATAGATTCTGATGACATTAATTCTACTTATTCTAACGTTCTGCTTGTTCTGTTCATTTTGCTTTCTTAGTTGTAAACTACACAGAATGGTATTTTAAAGTATTATCTATTGGCCACTTTTTGACTTTTGTCCCATTTTCTATATTTGATTGCACCTCGTCTTTGTAGTCAAGATTTCACATTAGGTTCTTCATTTCATAAGTTTTCATGGGCTGCTTGGGAAAGCGTGGTATGGGTCACTGAACGTTGGGTTATTACTTGCTTTCAGGGGTCATGGAGGAAAGTAAGCTCTGCCCACGGGCAGAGTAATGGATAATTAGTCTCATGACTAGGTACCCATCACCCCTCCAAGGACTCATTGATTCCTAAGACCCCCAACTCTGTCTCTCCAAATCCAACACCCCCACGATTAGGAGGAAGAGACCTCCATCCCTGTTGCCTCTCTAGGGCAGGGGAGGCCAAAGGGAAAGGAAACATGCAGTGATCAACCCTCCTTGTTGTGCTCCAGAAATCACCCGTTGGTTTCCTTGAGTCCTTCCTGCCCTGGGCCTTTACACAATCTTAACCCTTCACCCACATTACTGTAGCCTGTGGGTACTGGCAACCGTGTGGCTTCAGTCTTCCCTCTGATCCATCTGCACCCTCCTAAGGATTCCTTACTATCACTGGATCAAGGAGAATGTTCTTTGTTTCCAGTATTGTTATGAATTAAAAAAAAATCTTTCCAATTATTTCTATGGTTTGGGAGTACAGAGGGCAAGGTGCTTGTTTCTGGAAAATGAGCAAGTTGAAGTGGGAATATTCATTTCTTGGGAGAGGTGTATGTGTCAACACTGCTCTAAAGGAAGAGGCCAGAGGCATTAGGGTCAAGGGAAATGGTCACAAAGTGGGCCCAGCGAACTACCCTCCTTAGTAGCTCTTGACCATCCGTGGGAACCATCAGCATTTCCCCAGGCATCCTGCCTCTCTTTCTACATCTTTATGGACAATCAGACCCATTAAATAGAAAGAAAGCAGAGAAGGAGAAAGTGGGAGGAAAAGAACCATAGAAGATATTAGTGAGAACAATCCCACTCTCACCCAAGGATGATTTCTTACAGAATAGTGCTTGGTTGAGCCAGCTCACCTCCTTGCAGGAACTTCATGGGGTAGACGATGGCATGGTATCTGTCTATGCTGAGGGACACCAGGACATAGGTAGAGGCATAGAGCAGCACAACCTGAAGACAGAAACGAGAGGGGGTGCATGACTTCATAGAAGTGAGGGAATCCACACAATGGGAAGAAGAATGTTCTGTGCTATTGAGAAACCTGCGCACCAAACCTAGGGAGGGATGAAGTTTGGGTGAGGGAGAGAAATGATTCACTCCCTGTGTCTACAAGCAGATTGCTGTTCTTGGTGCTGCACTTGTCACTGTTAGTCGTAGCTGGGGAGAATGCTTCCAGATCACCCTTCCTCACTCATTCATTTGGCTTCTTGGAGACTCCACATCTCAGGATCAGTCTCTCTTGACATTTGCATGGTACATTTGTTTGTAATTGACTTTTAAAGCTAACCTAATTTTCCCTGCCACAATTGACATTCCAGAATAATTAGAAACAAACGTTCATTTGCCTTTTATCAGTGTGAGTTGTTGAGAGACAATGGAAGGGATCTGGTTTCTGGGAGCCCATGTGCTGTTTAGAATCATTTATCATCATCTGCATTGACAGTCTCAGAGCTCACTTCCTCCTCCACTTCTCTGGTATAACTGTTCATTAAGGCCAGTCCTTGGGTCCCCCCCCCCTCCCCCCTTCCCACCCTCTCTTTTATTAACCTTACTCATGCCCTTTAATTATCCTGAGTACAGTGTTATTTGCATAGTTTGCAGAGAAGGAAATTGGGATATAAGAGGTTAACATCTCTCATGTTAAAAGTATAATCAAAATGTAATTAAATGAAATATTTCTGAAAGAATGATCAAGGTGGAAAGTTTTCAGGTAACTTTGAGCCTTATTTATACCAAGAGTCTAGTCATATCTCTGCTTTGTAACCTTTGGATCAATTCCAGAGCAGGGAAGAATAACTCAAAGACCAGAGTCTAAGGGTGAGTGTCTGAATCTCTCCTAAAAACAAAATAGAAATACCGTGACTTTGGCAATAACTTTTGTCTGAATTTATACCTTATTGTTCTTTCTCTCATTCAGAAAAATAACAATCAACTATGTTATTGTTCTCTATTATTTTTATTTGTATAACACCACCGCAAATGCGTCCTGGCACTAATGTTGTGGAAGGTGCCACAGGGTGGGAGTTCTGATTAAAGATTGAAGGCTTTCCTGAGGGATATAAGAAGAAATTCTCCTCTTGCTAAAAAGATGCAATATGGACAGGGAGAAGAATTTTGGCCAAATTTAACCAAAAAATTTAGACAACAGTCTTCTTAGAGAAAAGTGGGATTTGTACGTGTGACCTATGAATTCAGAACTATTAAGGATGGCCACACACAGCATAGGAGGTGGCATTCGAGGAATATGAGAAAGAAAGCTCCCAAGGGCAGAACTCTATGGGATGGAACATCTTGGTGAGAAGGTCGTAAGAATCTCAGCCATCTTTGACTGTGTTGAGTGACTGTGACCTTGAGGAACTTGCCAACACAAGTTCAGAATTTGAAGCAAGATGAAAAAGGTCACAATAAGGAGTGGCTGGAGGAGTAGGCGATGTTAACACAAAGAGATGTACTTTCAGACAGTCAAAAAGAGTAGTTAATTTCAAGGGTCTTCAAACATGTAGGCAGGGTAAAAAAAAAAATTAAAGGTTACATAAAAGAAATGCATCTCAAATTGTCATGCCTCTTTTTTACAAAAATAAATGCCAGAAAACAGCATAAAAACATGTTCAGAGTTTTGAAAGAAAAATTATGATCCAAGAATTTTGTAAATATCATTTCTGTGCCAAGGCACAGAATAGTTTTCTTAAATGTATAAAAAAAGAAAGTATAACATCACATAATCTCCTGAAAAATCTTCCTTGAGGAAATATTTCTGCTGACTGAGCATTGTTTAAAAATTAAGAACTCTAGAAGAGGGATGGGATTGAATAATAATAGCTATGGTAAGCAATGAGTCCCCCCAAATCCCACAAAATGTTTACAACATCATTATGAATATAGTTAGGAAACATTCCAGGGAAAAATCTGGGGAATTGAGTGAGAAGAGAGAGTAGAAGGAAAGAAATCATATTATATATTTCCATTTGGTCATTTTAGACATCTCTGTTGTTTTTTACTTTGATAGAGACATATTACATTTAAAAATTAAAGATAAGCTTTGACATAAAATAAAAGGGGGGAAAATAATTTATTAGCTTCTTACGGCTATTGTAACAAATCACCACAAGCTTCATGGTTTAAACCAGCATAAATGCACTTTCTTACACTTCTAGAGACTAGAAGTCCATAATCAGTTACACTGGGTCAAAAATTAAGGTGTTGGCAGGGCCACCCTCCCTCCACAAGCCCCAGAGGAGAATCCATTCCTTGCCTCTTTCAGCTGAAGGTGGCTGCCAGTATTCTTTGACTCGTGGCCACACCAATCTCATCTCTGAGTCTATGGTTACAATGGCTCTTCTGTCTGTTTGTCAAATCTCCCCCCTTCCCTTTAATAAAGGATATATGTAATTACACTTGAACTCATCAACATAATCCAGAATAATCTCCCCATTCAAATTCCTGGACTTAATTACATCTGCAGAGTCCTTTTTTGCCATATAAAGTAATATATATAGGTTTCAGGGTTTAGAATTTGGATTTGGGGGTGCCATTTTTCAGCCTACCACAATTAACAACCAAGCAGGAAGGAAAAAAAAAACATGTAAATAAAAAAATTAAGACAGAAAGATTAAAATGAGGTGACTTCAATAACACCAAACACTATTTGTCTCCATAAATATAAATGACTTAACCTCCTTGACTAAAACAAAGACTATGTACAAGACCCTTCCACAAATCTAACTGTATACTGTGTTGAAAATAAGCCTCTCAGTCCAAATTATTATCAAAGTTTAAAAATAGAGTGATGGCCAAAGGCATAGGAAAAACTAAAATCAAAAGAAGGCATTTACTACAATACTACTATTTGACAAATTAAATTCAAAGCAAACTGTACTACATGGGACAAAGGGATTATTTTTATTGATACAATACATAATGATGACAGAATATTAATAAACTTATATGTAACAAGTAACATAATACTAAATATGCATAACTAAAATGTTCAAAGACTTACCAAGTATAAAACACAATAATACATAGAAATAATTAAACACATTTAAAAAATAATACACATTATTGTAAAATATCTAGGCAACATTTCAAAAATTGATCATAAAATAAACTACCAAGAAAAAAAATCCCTCAATAGATTTCAAAATTATACAATTTATATAATTTGCATATTTAAAACAACAAGCAATAAAAACTGAAATCAGTATCATGTTATTTTTTTTTAAATACCACTTGGAAATTTAAACACCCTTGTAATTAACTTGAGTCAAGAAGGAAATCAAAGTACAATTATAGTCAATTCATAAATGTCAACAATGAAAATTCTACACATCAACAACATATGGGATACCATTTGGATAACAGATGGCAGATTGAGGACATATGTCTGAATTCTCACTACCCCACCCCTCTATTCTGACAAAAATGACCTAGGAAATATAAAACCAAAGAAAATCTTGCACAGAAGTTGAGACTTAAATGCAGCAAACTTAGAAAAATTTTATTTAGAAAAATACCAGATTGGATTCATGTAAAGGAGGATCCCTGGATTGACTTAAAAAATTAATATACTTTATTTTTTAGAGCAATTTTAGATTCATAGAAAAAAGGATAGTTTCCACCTCCATCCCCAACTTTTCCCCATTATTAACATCTTACGTGTGGTCCATTTGTTAAATTTGATGATCCAATATCAATACATTACCATTAAAGTCCATACTTGTGTTGTATAGTTCTATGGGTTTTGACAAATGAATAATGTCCCCTATCAATGATTCATACAGAAAAGCTTCACTGTCCTAAAAATGCCTTGTACTTTACCTAGTCTATCTTGCCAAATCCCTAGCAACCACTGATATTTTTACTGTCTCCATAGTTTCCTTTTTCCAGAACATCATATAGTTATCATACTTCTGTAGCCTTTTCAGACTGACTTCTTTTACTTAGCAAAGTTCATGTAAGATTCCCCCATGACTTTTCATGGCTTGATAGCCCATTATGTTTTATTGTTAAATAGTATTCCATGATATGGAAGTACCAAAGTTTTTTTTTTTTTTATCCTTTCAGCATTTGAGGAACATCTTACTACCAATTTTTGACAATTATGAATAAAGTTGCTATAACATTCTTGTGCAAGTTTGTGTGAACATAAGCCATCAACTCAATTGGATATATATCTAGGAGCACAATTGCTATCTTGCACGATAAGAGTATTTTCTCTTTGTTTTTAATCTTTATGTCCTTATTTTGAGAGAGTGTGTGTGTGCAAGCAGGGGAGGGGGAAACAGAGAGAAAGAGAGAGAAAGGAAGAATCCCAAGCAGGCTCCACACTGTCAGCACAGAGCCTGACACAGGATTTGATCCCGTGGGATCATGATCTGAGATGCTGGGATCATGATCTGAGTCGAAATAAAGAGTTGGACATTTAAGCAACTGAGGCACCCATGTGTCCCAAGAGTATTTTCAATTTTTTAAGAAACTTCAGCAAAATGGCTGTACCATTTTGCACTCCTACAAACAGCACTAGCATTTTGTATCATCAGTTGTTTGGATTTTAGTCATTCTAATAAGTATGTAGTGCTTTCTCATTTTAATTTGCAATTCCCTAATGCCATATAATGTTTCTTTTGATATGCTTGTTCATTATCTATATATCTTCTCTGGTTAGCTGTCTGTTCAGATAGTTTGCCTATTTTTAAGTGGGCTGTTTCCTTACTGTTGAGTTTTAAGAGGTCTGTGTGTGCGTGCGTGTGTGTATGTGTGTGTGTGTGTATACATTTTTTTAGAGAGAGAGTGAAGGGAGGAAGGGGCAGAGGGGGCGGAGAGAGAGAGAGAGAGAGAGAGAGAGAGAGAGAGAGAGAGAGAGAATCTTAAGCAGGCTCCACGCTCAGCACAGAGCCTAACACAGGGCTCGATCCCATGACCTTGGGATACTGACCTGAACCAAAATCAAGAGTCCCATGCTCAACCAACTGAGCCCCACCTAGGCATCCAGGTCTGGTATATTTTGGACACAAATTCTTTATCAAGTGTGTTTTGCAAACATTTTTTTCTCATTCTGTGCCTTGTCTTTTCTATCTCTTAACAGTGTCTTTTGCAGAGAAATTTGAAATTTTCATAAAATCAAACTTTTCATTTTTTTTCTTTCTTGGGTTGCGCTTTTGGTGTTATACCTAAAAAGTCACGGAGAAATCCTAAGTACCCTAGCTTCTCTCCTATGTTTTCCTCTAATAGTTTTATAGCATGCATATTTCATTCAAGTCTATGATCCATATTGAGTTAGTTTTTGTGAAAGGTGTAAGGTTTGTAGTTAGATGATTATTATTTTTTTAATGTGGATATCCCATGACTCTAGCAGTATTTCTTGAAGAGGCTGTTTTTTTCTCCATTGAACTGTCTTTGCTCCTTTGTCAAAGATCAGTTGACTTTTTGTGTGCATTTGTTTCTGGGCCTATATTCTGTTCCACTGATCTATTTGTTGATTCTTTTGCGAATATCATGCTGTCTTGATTTAGCTGTAGCTTTATAGTAAGTCTTGAAATCAAATAGTATCAGTCTTTCATTTGTGTTCTTCAGTATTGTGTTGGCTATTCTGTGTCTTTCACCTTTCCACATAAATTTTAGAGTTTGTCTATATCTATAAAATAACTTGGTGAGCTTTTTATTGGGATTGCATTGAATTTATAAATTGGAGTAGAATTGACATCTTAATAATAGTGAGACTTCCTTTCTATGAACATAGAATAACTATCCATTTATTTGGATATTCTTTGATTTCTTTGATCAAGTATTGTAGTTTTCTTCATACTGATCTTGCATGTATTTTATTAGATTTATACGTAAGCTTTCATATTTTTGGTGCTAACATAAATGGTATTGTGTTTTTAATTTTAAATTCAAATTGCTTATTGCTGGCATATAAAAACACAATTGACTTTTGTTTACTAATCTTATATTCTGTAATCTTGTTATTTTCACTTAATAAGCCCATAGGTTCTCTGTGGTTTTGTTTGGTTTTGTTTTTTTGTCAATTCTTTCAGATTGTCTACATAGACAATCTTGTCATATGTGAACAAAGATATTATTTCACCTTTCCTGATCTGTATACCTTTTATTTATTTTTCTTGTCCTGTTGAGTTAGTGGGACTTCAGTATTATGCTGAATAGGAGTAGTGAGAGTGAACATCCTTGCTTTGCTCTCAATCTTATGAAAGAAGCATCCAGTTTCTCACCATTAAGTATGAGGTTAGCTGTAGCTTTTGGTAGATGTTCTTGTATCAAGTTCAGGAAATTTTCCTCCATGAAGAGTTTACTGAGAGTTTTTATCATGAATTGATATTGGATTTTATCAAATGATTTTTTGGTATTTATTGAAATGATCATATACTTTTTCTTCTTTGTCTTTTGAGATAATGGATTACATCAATTGATTTTCAAAGGTCGAACCAGCTTTTTATACATGGAATAAATTCCACTTGACCATGGTATGTAGTTCTTTTTATAAATACTTTGATTCAATTGCTAGTATTTGTTGATAATTTTTACATCTATTTTCACAAGAAATATAGGTCTATAGTTTTCCTTTCCAGTAATTCTTCTGTCTGTTTTTGATGTTAGGATAATGCTGGACTCACAGAATGAGTTAGGAAACATTCCCTTTGCTTCTGTGTTCTAGAAAAATTAGCAACTTATTGGTATAATTTCTTCCTTAAATATTTGGTAGAATTCACCAGTAAACCCATCTAGGCCTGGTGCTTTCTTTCTCGGAAGATTATTAATTATTAATTAAATTTGTTTCATAGATACAGGCCTACTCATCTTGTCTATTTTTCCTTATATGAGTTTTGGTAGATTGTGTCTTTCAAGGATTTGGTCCATTTCAAGTAAATTATCAAAGTTTCAGGCATATAGTTCATAACATTCCTTTATTATCTTTTTAAAATCTATAGGATCAGTAGTAATTAACCCTCTTTCATTTTTAATATTAACCATTTGTGCCAACCCTCTTCTTTTGTTTACTGTCACTAGAAGTTTATCAATTTTATTATCTCTCCAAAGAACCAGCTTATAGTTTCATTGATTTTCACTGTTGATTTACTGTTTCAATTTTAGTAATTTGTGCTCTAGTTTTTATCATTTAAAAAATTCTACTTGCTTTAGGTATACATTGTCTGTTTTCTCTAGTTTCCTAAGGTAGAAGATTAGATTATTAATTTTAGATCTTTTTTCTTGACTAATACAAGAATTTAATGCTATAAATTTCTCCAAAAGCACTGTTTTTATTGTCCTACAAATTATGATAAGTTGTATTTTCATGTTTAATTTTACCCACATGTTACCTAGAGTGGGTCTAATCCCCCAGAATATTGAGATTGGCCAGCTATCCTTCTGTTATTCATTTCTGGTTTAATTCTAATTTGGTCTGAGAGCATACTTTGTGCTATTTCCACTCTTTTACATTGTTAAGGTGTATTTTATGGTCCAGGATGTAATTTCCCTTGTTGAATGTTCCATGTGAGTTTGATAAGAATAAGTATTCTGCCTTGTTGGATGAAGTGTTGTGTAAATGCCAATTAGGTCAATTTGATAGATAGTTTAGTTTACCTCAACTGAGAGCTATTTAGTTCAACTATATCCCTGCTTCTAACACTAAGTATTGGCATAATTTATTTCTCAGCAATTGCCACAGTAAGCAATTGATAACATTTATCTGCAAGGAAGCAAAATTTTTTCAATAAGGAATTAAAATATGTTTTAAAAAATAACCCCTGAGAAAATACCAGTTCCAGATGGTAATCAGGGGTCTTTCACATCTACTAAATTTTCAAGATTATATTCAGAACACAAAAGATTTTTATTTTATTTATTCTTTTAAAATTTATTGATTTATTTTGAGAGTGTGAGGGAGGGGCAGAGAGAGAGAGAGAAAGAGAGAGAGAGAGAATCACAGGTATGCTCTGCACCATCAACATGGAGCCTGAGGCAGGGCCAAACTCACGAACTATGAGATCATGACCTGAGCAGAAATCAAAAGTTGGACTCTTAACTGACTGAGCCACCTAGGCACCCCAAAGATTTTTAATTGTAACTATTCTCTATTCATTTTCTGAAGATGGAGTAACTCCATTTCCAAGGTCTGAAAATGATAGAATAAATGAAAATCATAGATGAATATAGATATGAAGATTCTTAAAAACCCTACTAGCAAGTGGAATACTGTGGGATAAAGTTTTCCAGAAATGTACTCTACATCTCTAGAGCTACAATAATTTAGATCCTGAATATGGGCATCAAAATAAAAATTATTAATGGAAAATAATTTTAAGAGCTCAGAAACAGAACACATCAGTTCTAACGCCAGTTATGAAACAGTTCATTCTTTCTGTATTAGTTGAAGTGCCTTAATCCATAGTATGTACATATATGGTGTATTAACAATATAATATATGTATATGGTAAATATGTAATATTTTGTACCATCTATTTTATGCATATATATTTGCATTAGTAATTTTCACATTAAAGTATATTCAACAGGCAAAGTATAAATGTCTTTAATCTAAAAATAGATATTAGCAATAATTAAGGAAAAGCACATATCCCAGGGATGCCTGGGTGGCTCAGTCAGTTAAGCATCCAACTCTTGATTTTCAGCTCATGTCATGATCTTACAGTTCATGAGATTGAGCCCCAAGTCTGGCTCTGTGCTGATAGCATGGAGCCTGCTTGGGATTGATTCTCTCTCTCTCTCTCTCTCTCTCTCTCTCTCTCTCTCAAAATAAATAAATATTAAAAAAAAAAAAAACCAAGTATACCAGTTATAAAAAAATTGAAAAGGATAGTAGGCAATTTAAATAAGAAGAGATTCAAACGCCAATAGATATTTTTAAAAGTCCAATTTAGGTGGTAATACAGGCACCACAAGTTAAAACAACTAGAGATAATACCTATTTTCTGACAATCTGTCACAGTTTTTCAAAAAGAACAGTAGCCAGTGTTGTGTTAGTTTCAGGAGGAAAAAATTAAAGGAACAAAAACCAAAAAACAAACAAAAAAAGAACTTTGAATGTTTGTATCCCACCAAAATTCATATGAATCCTAATGCCCAGTGTGATGATGGTAGGAGGTGAGGCCTTTGGGAGGTGGTTAGGTTATGAGGGTGGAGCCCTCATGAATGAGTGGGATTAGTGCCCTTATAAACAAGGCCTGGCAGAGGTCCCTTATTCCGTCTGCCATGAGAAGTCTGTAACCTGGAAGAGGGCCCTCACCTGACAATTGCTGGCACACTGATCTTGAACTTCCAGCCTCCAGAACTGTGAGAAATGAATGTTTGTTGTTTTTGTAAGACCCTTACTCTGTGGTATTTTTACAGTAGCCTGAATGGACCAAGAAAGCCAGAATATGTCAAAGTCCTTCATATTTACCGCCCCCCCAATTTAAAATGTGAATATTTATGTTCTTATTAATGCTTATTTATGTTTGCTTTATATATTAATTATTTTTAGCAAAAAAGAAATTTAAAAATCTTACCAATTTGGCTTATCCTTCCAACTAGGAGAAAGTGAGCAGTTCGTTGTGTGGAAGTGTTTAGTTCTATATTATTTTCCTTGTGAAGACTCCAAAAACTACTTGTCACTTTGCCTCATATTTTTAAAGGGCTACATACCTGCAGATAGCGGACCACTCGGCAAACGAGATCAGGTGCCATAAAATCTCCAGTGAATCGCCAAATGATATCTGTCAAGATGTTAACCAGTCCTGTGAAAGAGTCTAACAAAAACATGCAAGTGGTTAACTTTAGTCTCTTTCAAATTTCCAGCCTTGCCACAATAGAAATCAATTCCTAGGGAGATTTTTTTTTTTTCCTTCTGATTTATCAGGTGGCCATTAAGGAAAAATAAGGCAAGGCAGGAGTTCATTGACTTTTATTATTAGGTCTTGTTACCACTCAGATGTAACCAACTTGGAAGGATTTTGGTAATGACTAAAATGATTTTGGTAACCATACAGTTGACCTTTTAAGTCACAGAAGAGGAGTTTTAAGGGGGTTTAGATCTGTACCAAAATAAGGACTGTGTGAGGATCGATAAGGGAAAAATTGAGAAAAGGAAAATATTTATCTTTAAGAAGCCCCTCAAAATCCCTCTTCTTGTACCCACTGTTTTATAATGTCGACCTCTTGTTACCTCCCTACCAGCAATGACAGCACTCCACTTTCACTCCAGGTTTCTTTTCTTTCTTCTCCTTTCCCCTTTCAACATCTATGCCTGGAAAAAATCAAGTGCATGATCTATCAATTTCATTAACTTAATTGGCTAAACAACAGAGGAACTGAGGCCAAGATTTGAGACCAAAGTCAGAGACTTTAGGCTGCTGTGGTTATCTCTACTCATTTCTGTACTTAGATTGAAAGTTGTGTAGATATCTATATCAGAAATGGCAAAATATATGTCTAGAAGCTCCCTCTCACCCTTCCATGACATATCACTAATTGATCATGTGATCCAGAATCATTCTCAAAACAGTGCTGTAGGGATTCTCTGCTAATTGATGGATAGGGCTGGTACTTAAAACAGGATAAGTAAGAATTCATTGACTTAGAGTCACTTCCTTGGAACATGGGATATAACACTCTGTCAAAGACCCAAGAGGCAAGGCAAATTCATTGCCAGGGTAGCTCTTAGAAGTCTGGAGAAAGTGCTGGTCTTTCCTAGGCAAAAGAGAAATGCCTGAGTTGCCCCGGCAGACAGTAGAAAAAATAAAAATAAAAAGGCCAAGTAAAGTGTGCATGCTATAATGGATATATTATGTAAAGCCAGAAGACCCACCAGAGAATTATATTCCATGGAAGGACTCAGAAGACACATCACTCATCAAGAATGTACTGGTGAGAGGAGCACCTGCATTACAAAGAAGCTTCCAACTATGCTAGAGTGGATGTAGGAAAGGTGGTCATAGAGCCTGGTCTTATTATACATGGTAAGGCTGCACTGTAATAATTCTTCTAGTCCTTCCCCAAAGGGACCTATAGTCACTTATTTGTGTGACTGTACACTGGGGAAAGAAGAATATACAGACATTTTGAGTACTGAGGCACAGGCTCTATGTTGACATGATACCTAGAGACCTGAAGTGTCATTTTGGCCCGACTATAAGAGTGGAATCTTTGGGGCCAGGTAACAAATAGAATCCTAGTTGAAATGGAATGGTTCACTAGATCTGCAGACCCTCCATTATTCATTTCCCCATTCCCTGAATGTTTAATTTATACTAATATACTTAGCATTTGGAATAACTCCATATCTGCTTCCTCATAATAGTGGCAGACAGCAAGACTACTCATTGGACAACATGATGAATTACCCCTTATCATGGCCAATCTAGCTATTGCTGTATTTAAATGTCTTTGAATTACCAACAGTGGAGATCAACACTGAGCCCCAGTATGACACTATTTCTTAAGAAGATCAACCAGCTACTTTGTGACAAGCTGACTACATTGGACCCTTCAATATTGCAAGGGCCAGCTGTCCATCTTCCCAGCGTATACTTATTCTGAGTATGAACATGCTTTCCCTGACCTCTGAGTTGTAGTCAACACCATTCACCAATCTCTAGAGGATTTCTGATTGCCCAACTAGAATGGAATCCCGCATAACACAGTATCTGATCAGGAAACCCACTTCATTGTGAAGGGGATATAGGCTTGCACCATGGATCATAGAATCTATTTATGTCACACAGTGCACCACCCAGCACAGCTGTCTTCCTGGAGCACTGGGATGCACTAGTAAAGGCACAAAGTGCCAGCTTAGTGGCAATACTCTGAAAGCATGGAATCCCATCCTCCAAAATGCTGCATATGCATTAAATCAGAGCTCTCTTTATGGTGCTGTGTCACTAACAGGAGATATACATATGCCTGAGAACCAAGGGGTAGAGGTGGGAATGGTCACACTGCATATTACTCCCAGTGAACCCCTGGGGGGGCACTGTGTATACCTCTCTGCTCTGCAGGCTGGAGGTCCTAGTCCCAAAAGGAAGTTGCAAACCTGCCGGGGGTCATAGCAAGGGTCCCCTCGAACTGAAAGTGATGGCTGACATGAAGACACTTTGGACTCGTTGGTCCAGGGACTAGCAGTCAAGAAGAGAAGTCACAGCTGTGGTCAGAGTAATTGGCTGTGATCAGCTGATGGAGGCAGAGCTGGGTTTATACAGTGAAGGAAGAGAAGAGGATGGGTAGAACACAGGTAATTTACTCATTATTTTATGATTGACTATAGATAATTAGTGAATGGGGCTAGATGTGCTAAGCATACTGCAGCAGGCTCTCAGTGTAGGGTTGTGCAGATTTTTGAGGCTGTAGACTGCTCTGTCCTGCTGTGGTGGGAGGGTGCGTGGGGGCTGAAATCGAGGCGTTAGTATGGTCATGAAGACACACACCCTGGCTTCAGACTGCACAAAGATAAAGCAAGTGTCAACTCTGTCCTGCATGACATACGAACTATACCCTCTACAAAACTGTTCAGATCAACATTCTAATCCTGCCTTTGTTGAGAAACACTGCCAGGTTTTATGGGAGAGAATCTGTGGTTTCTGTGCATTTCTGCTCAGACAGAAGAGTGGGCAGAACCTTACTTAGAAGTGAAGGGTATCCATTTGGTTGAGTTCAGGCTCTCGGAAAGCTGAACAGCTAAACCACAAAAGAAACTCCTATTTTGGAGTAGGCCGCTCATGATTTCATTTCCAATGGTTTATTTTTATTACTGTGTTTCTGTTAAAGAGGAGTAACAAAAACTGAAAATGGCACTGTCACTTGGTTAATTACTTCTGTGCATGCTGGAGAATGAGAACAGAAGGGAGGCTAGCATCCAGAGCAGGGGATGGCATGTCGTAGGTGCTCAGAACGTATTTGTCAAATAAATTGTCTCTATGGTTTGGAAAAGGCATTTATGGCTTTTTAAAAATTAAACTTGGGTTCCTGGGTGGTTCAGTCAGGTAAGCATCTGACTCTTAATTTCAGCTCAGGTCATCATCTCACAGTGGGTGAGATCAAGCCCCACATGGGGCTCTGCACTGACAGCATGGAGCCTGCTAGGGATTCTCTCTCTCCAGCTCTCTCTACCCCTCCCCCACTCACACTCTTTCTCTCTCTCTCTCTCAAAATAAACATTTTTTAAAAATAAATAAAATCAATTTTTATTTTGAAATAATTAAAGACTCACAAGACGTTGCAAAAATAGCACAGAGAGTCGTCACGTACCCATCACCCAGCTTCCCCCCATGGTGACATCTCATGTAACTAGAGTCGGCTTCATTGTTCAAAGGAGAATTATTACTCTCAATCCAGGTTTCTGTACAACACGGAGCATGATCCTAAGGAATGTTACTAAGCAGTCATTATATCTTTGTCAATATTTTAAGTATTTAAAGTATCTCAAGATTTTTTAATCTAACAAAAAACTATAAATTCCTCATTTGAGAGATAGGCAAATTTCGTGTGATTAAAATGTTTTCTAAGATTGTGAAACAAGTTACAGCTAAAGTCAGACTTGTAACCCAGACTGGATGTTAGTGTCTAGTCTTCACCACACTGTTTTTTTTCCTCCTTTTCCCTCCCCTTCCCTCCCCTCCCCTCCCCTCCCCTCCCCTCCCCTTCCCTTCCCAATTCTTGTTCTATCTGTTCTCCTTTAATCCCTAGACCAATATACAGGCACAATTCTTCCTCCCATGCCCTCATTCCCTGTCCTGGTTGCCCTGATTTTTCTCTCAGCTTCCTCTATTTGTAGGGTCACTCCACCCATAGGATTTGCTTTTATACCTTTAGAGAACTGTGATGGTAAATCTTCCTTTTCAGGATCTGTATTGTAAACAAGATAAAGGCTGAGCTCCCAACTTAGCATAAAGACTTGCTAAGACTTAACCTCTTGCTAAGTAACCACCTGGCATTTTTATATTGAACACCATAGTGATCACACATTCATGTTTCAGACATGCATTCCATCTTCTTGAAATTGCCTTGTTCCATTTGTCAGTCTGTTGAATTATTATTTACCTTTCAATATCTAGCTGACATGTCCTCTTTTTTCCAGGAGCTTCCTTTGACCATTCACAAGGTAGGGTCTGTCATGTAAGGTATTGGGCCCTCCCAGTCTTATGCCTGTCTGTCTTTTCCTTTTTGTTTCTCTGTAGGTGACAATTAGAGCATGGACAAGCACATGGGAACTACAACAAAAGTGTCAAAGATTAGAGAAATCAGAGAAGTTCTGAGAAGGTCAGATTTGAGCAGCGTCTTGAGAGTCGTGGGTTATGACCTGATTAATAGAAATCTCATGAAGGGTTTCCTGGCAGGAATGGACTGGATGTGTGAGTGGATTGGGCCAATTGAAGTTCCTTGGATATTCTCTTTTGTTTTACATATTTTTTTTTTTTTAGTTTATTTATTCATTTTTGAGGGGGAGAGAGAGAGAGAGCATGGAAGGGGCAGACAAAGAGGGAGAGAGAGAGAATCCCAAGCAGGCTCTGCACCCTCAGTGCAGAGCCAGACGTGGGGATGGAACTCACAAACTGTGAGATCGTGACTTGAGCTGAAGTTGGACGCTCAACCGACTGAGCCATCCAGGCACCCCTACGTATTCTTTAAATAAAGAATAATGGGGACAATCCCTAAACTTATGTTTTTCTGAACTGAAGTGATACATTAACAATTATATTGTACCCCCAGTAACATTTCTTTTTTCTCCTGGAGCTCAGTCTTTAATGAGCCCATA